CCCCAAAACCCCAAAACCCCAAAACCCCAAAACCCCAGGCCAATGAAACATGATTGAACTATTAAGAATTATTCTTCGTCAACAACTTCTGCTTCTTCAAATTCATTAGTTTCGAGTAAATCTGCGACATAATCTGATACAAATTCTTTGCTAAATTTTCCTTTCATGGCATCCACTAATGTTCCTCCATAATTCTTGGTAAAATTCTCTCCGAATTGTGTCTTGAATCCTTCTGCGAAAGAATTTACAAACTTTTTGGCAAATTCTTCTTCGAATCTTTCTTGCAAATCTCCTTCAAATTTCCACTCTTTGATGTGAAACTCTTGCAAATCTTCCTTGAGATCAGGGGAAGTGGCTAGCCCTTGGACCAAGTTCTTCACTTCACCAGGGTTGGTCAAGTCATTGCGTCTGCTTGAGATCACACTTTTGTCGAATTTCAAGACTCTGATCTTAGAGCCCTTGAGAGCCAATGAAAAATCTGGAACTCTTGGGACTAAGAGATTGCTCTTCTTAAACCCAACAGTTTCAACATGTCTGAATGCTGCAAGGAATCTTTTTAAATGTTTTTCATTTATTTGAAAAGACCAAAAACAAATCTCCTTCTTGACTGCGGAACTAATCCTCACGATCTGGTTCAGCTTGTGATTACGAAGGATGCAATCACGATTGCAATTACCTATTTCTAAAACTTTCACTCTTCTCGGAAAAGTTTGGTCAAAGAATGCTCCAAGGTTCTTCAATTTCTTTGATAAAATTGTCATTTTACTAGCATCAGGAATTTTGAGAAATCAGTTTGTATAAAATGAGCCATAACCCTTTCAATAAAATAGCACCTTGTAAGGTGATATTGCATAAATCTTATCTCATCCTTTTTCTTCGGCTTCTGAATATATCTTAATCTGGAAGTCTATAAACTTCTGCTGCACGTCTACATCCGAAGTTTAGTGGGATTTGAAATAAAAACTGCCTATTTTTGATTGAAATTTTCGGACAAAGTCTAATAAACATGCTAAAAGATAATGGCATTAAGACGACGTTCTATTGCATAAGTCTACTCATGGTTTGAGAGAAGTCATGGCCAGATTAATGTCTCAGAGCTTTTGTAGTATCGAAAGAAACTAATCCAAATTTTGGATATTTGGCTTTCGATAAACCTCAGAAAACATGCTAGCGATTTGGGTATTTTTGAGTAGATCAACTAATAAGGTTACTCAGACTTGCATTTGAGCTACCATCAAAAGTTGAGGTATGATATCTTAATGATAGTTACGAGCAAGTGCAAACGGAGGAGTCAAATTAAAGCAACGAGCAGATTCTGAAGCATCCAGACCGATGTTATGTTTTATTTTGGATATATTTAGATATTTGTAAAGCAATTAAGCCAAAACCATCTCTATAAAAGTCTAATATTGGCTAATATAAGTGCCAGAGCAGACAGATTGGTGGAAAATGAGTGATGCTGGCATCCCATAACTTAAATGGTTGCTTTGAAGCTAACTAAAATGTGCTTATGATACATGGTCTGACTCAGATTTGAACTGAATTGACAAACTTACTCAATTCTTTCATAGTTTTTTTAGATTTCTCCCAAATGATAGAATAGTACTCGCCAGCTAGACTGGATCGATATTTACTTGAAGAGATAGGACTTTCATCTCTTTCCGTAAAAAGCTTGACCGAATCCTGCTGAAGCTTGTCTAGATCAAGGGCTTCTAAACTATTCTTGGAGATACTTTCTTTGAATCTTGCTGAATCTGCATCCACATCTGCTCCAAATGGATTGACTATTACTGATTTTAGTTGAGCTTACCTTTGGCAGACTTTCCATCAGCTTTGTGACAAGTTATGCTCGATGAATCATTCTCATCTTGGCTTGGATGATTATCTAAATGTATGTTGTGATTATTGTCAAAGGCAACTATTTATTAGTGTCATTCTTACAAAGAAGTTTCCAATTTTACACATATAGTCTATGGTAAACTTGCTACTCAAAAGTAAATTGTCTATGAATCATAAGTCTATTTGAGAGGAGTCTCCTTACAACTAAAAAGTATCAATGAATAGTTCTAATTGTCAAGGATTCTCCTTAAATAGCACAATACAGAGCTCGAACAACTTTCATCAAACTTACCTTTGTTTGTCTGTGCTATCCATGGATTAGCATTGGAGCCTTCATGTGTTTGCTTTACAGACTTCTGAGATGAAAGATAGCATTCTTCAGAGCTAGCTGTCAGGCTTGGTGGATCTGAAGAGCCTTTCTTAAATTCTTCACTCTGATCAATGTGCATATTTGCTTCAACATGGGACTCCTCAGAGCTTTTTTTGAGAGAATTTGGAAGCTTATTAAAAATTCTGCGACATTTCTTGAATTGACGAGCCTCATTTCGCTCCTCTTGAGTGAGGTAGTCATTATTCTCTGTTCTTAGATCTCCTCTCATAATTTCTATAAGTATGATACAGCAGTCCTGAAGCTGGGGTGAACGCTTACCTGATTTTTCAGACTGAATTTGTCTCTGACTTGGCTTCTGCTCCATTTTGAGTAAAATTATTAATATTAGATTCTTACTTCCGCGATTATCCCGGGGTTTTGGGGTTTTGGGGTTTTGGGG